CCCCCTCCGGTCGACGACCCCATTCACCTAGAGAGGTAAGAGTTTGTTGTGATCCCCTTCACCCTAAAGGGCCTATGTTTACATTATCGCACGTATGCTATAAATAGTTTTAATCGGAATCGGTTAGAAGGTTTTGAAAATTTAAGATCATTGTCAGGTTTGCATAACCTCCTTAAAACATGACCGATGGCGTATCTGCGCACCTATGCGGACCCTTCTGCAACTCAAGTTAAATGACACACTCCCTTCAAAATTTACCTTATTCGAACAGGTGGTTCGCTGAATTTTGCTATATAAGATTGCACTTCACTAAGCAGATTTCCTGCCATATCATCAATATCAGACCATGTCTTAGAGTGATTAGATGCGCTAAGTAGGTAGAAGAAACCGGGAATGTCTCCTGCTATAATCCGAAAGACATTTCGATAAGATGATAGGTCTTCACACGTTCCTGCAATGTAGTGTCATCCAAGAAGATATGAACAAAACAAAAAAACCTTACCTTCTAGTCCATGTACAAACACAACCAAATGAGTGATCTGTGCATGTGCATTTCTAATATCCGAACATTGGCGAGAGAGCGCCTGTTCACTGAAAAAAAGTATGATAAGTCTGCTTTTGTTAGAGTGTGATAACAGTCAACCTTAGAAGATAACCTCGTGTATTGACCATCGCACAGAGTACGGAACAAATTTGTTGAACTACTGCTCAATTCCAGTTGGGCTTAAAAATGATACCCCCATTCTACAAACACCATGTCGCAAGTGACTCCAAAAAGCACTACTCCTACTTTCATGCAGGGAATTACCTCTTTCACCTTGTAAGTCTTACTGAGATTTCCAATCCTTTGCGGGTAAATTTTACCAAATGCATCCCTTCTTCCCTTCGAAGGGAAGAAGAGATAAAATTGATTAATTTTATCCGCAAATATATCGGTATTATTTTCTGTCGAATTCATTTCCTTTAGCCTACGACTCGAGGGTGTTAATAGATAAACTACCGAACGTCTAGCAGAATCCTCCCTCACAGCACTCCTCACCTCCCCTTCCTCAGTTTTATTATTAACAATATTCGCTGGACAAGAAACAAACATGAATCTCCCTCTCCTTTACCCGATGCTAAATGCATTCCCGGCAGTTTTTATGAAAACAATCATAATATTATACCCAAATACAATCAACATAATGCAGAAAAAGATTTAGAGAAGTTGGGGAATGAAAAAAGCGTTACTTAGTTTATCTCAATATTTCATAAGGATCGGCCGACCCTTATAACGCTTGCCGCGATTTTGACTGCCACTAAGGGCACATCCGCAGTGGGCTCTATATTATATGGAGTTTTCAAATTGTAATCTGTATTACCTTCC